CCTGAGTCCACACTGCCATATAATCCAGTTCAAAGATATAGTTATTATTATTATTATTATTATTATTATTATTATTATTATTATTGTCATTATAGACATATAAATATTATTATAGGCATATAGATATTATTATTATTTTAGATACAAATATTATTATTAAAGCTATATAGATATTAGTATTATAGATATAATTTATGAGTTTCATATCAAAAGCATTGCATAAATTAGTATAAAATTGATAAAAAATAGAAGAAGCACGGGGCTCAATATCTTTCAAGCAAAAACAGGCAACAGATGTATGGATATTATTACACGACCTATAGATATTATTATAGACATAAAGATGTTATTATTTTTATTGTTATTTTTATAGATATTATATTGCTATTATTATTATAGATGTATACATATTATTATACTTTATACAGATATTATTATTATTATTATTATTATTATTATTATTATTATAGACAGATATTATAGGCATATAGGTATTATTGTTATAAATGTACAGATATTTTTGACAGACAGATATTATAATTATAGACATATGGATATTATTATAGACCTATAGATATTATCATACGCATATAGACATTATTACAGACATATAGATATTATGATAGAAATGTAGATATTATTGTTAAAGACATATAGATATCATAGACATATATATTATTGTAGATTGATAGATATTATTATGATAGATATATAGATATTATTATTGTAGATATAGCCCAGGGTTGTTATAAAGTAAAAATGGATGGCCATCTTTTGGGAGTGTTTTGATTGTGCCTTCCTGGATAGCCTTTCTGAACTCACAGAGCGTGGGTTTTTGTCCTTTCTTTGAATACTGGACTTCATTTCCCAGAATTCCTGGCACTGAACCCTGCTGATGGTGGATCTGGACCAAACTTGGCACACGGGCCCAACGTGGCCAACTTTGCACAGTGGTGGGGTTTGGGGGAAATTGACCTTAGATTCTGGGAGTTGTAGTTCACCCGCATCCAGACAGCATTGAACCCAGCCGATGATGGATCTGGACCAAMCTTGGCACACAGACCCAACATGATCAACTTTGAACAGTGGTGGGGTTTGGGGGGAATTGACCTTGATTTTGGGAAGTTGTAGTTTACTTGAATCCAAAGAGCACTGTGAACACAAACAACGATGGAGATGTACCAAATTTGGCACACAGACCCAACACGATTAATTTCAAACAGTGCTGGGGTTTGGGGAAAATTGACCTTGATTTGGGGGAGTTGTTCATCTGCATCCAGAAAGCACTGAACCCAGCCAACGATGAATCTGGACCAAACTTGGCACACAGGACCAACATGGCCAACTTTAATCGGTGGTGAGGTTTCGAGGGAAATTGTCCTTGATTTTGGGAGTTGTAGTTCACCTGCATCCACAGAGCACAGTGAATACAAACAATGATGGAAATGGACCAAACTTGGCACACAGACCCAACATAATCAACTTCAAACAGTGGCAGGGTTTGGGGAAAATTGAGCTTAGATTTTGGGAGTTGTAGTTCACCCACATCCAAAGGGCACAGTGAACACAAACAACAATGGATATGTTCGAAACTTGGCACACAGACCCAACACGATCAGCTTCGAACAGTGGTGGAATTTGGGGGAAATTGACCTTGATTTTGGGGAGTTGTAGTTCACTCGCATCAACAGAGCATGGTGAACACAAATGACGATGGATATGGACCAAACTTGACACACAGACCCCATATGATCAAACTTTGAACATTGGTGGGATTTGGGAGGAATTGACCCTAGATTCTGGGAGATTCCCACAGTTTTAATTGTATGTTGTCTTACTGATAATGTTGTATGTTTATTGCCTATATTTTTATGTTAATTGCTTGTATTGTTGTGATTATTACTTGTATTGTTGTGTTTGGGCTCGGCCTCATGTAAGCCGCACCGAGTCCCTTGGGGAGATGGTAGTGGGGTACAAATAAAGTGTTATTATTATTATTATTATTATTATTATTATTATTATTATTACTTGCATTCAGACAGCACTGAAACCAGCAGATGATGGATCTGGACCAAACTTGGCACACAGGCCCAGCGTGGCCAACTTTCAACAGTGGTGGGGTTTGGGGAAAAGTGACCTTGATTTGGGGGAGTTGTAGTTCACCCGCATCCACAGAGCACACAAATGACGATGGATATGGACCAAACTTAGTGCACAGACTCAACGTGTCCAGCTTTGGATATTGGAGGGCTTTGGGGGGAACTGACTTTCAATTCTCGGGACTTGTAGTTCACTTGCATCCACAGAGCACGGTGAACACAAATGACAATGGAAATGGACCAAACTTGGCACACAGGCCCAATGTGCCCAACTCTGAATACTGGTGGGGACTGAGAGAAATTGACCTTGATTTGGGGAGTTGTAGTTCAGTTGCATCCACAGAGCTCTGTGAACACAAATGACGATGGATATGGACTAAACCTAGTACACAGACCCAATGTGTCCAGCTTTGAATACTGGCAGGGTTTGGGGGAAATTGGTCTTAGATTTTGGGGAATTGTAGTTCACCCACATCCAAAGAGGATGGTGAACACAAACAATGATGGATATGTACCAAACTTGGCACAAAGACCTATCATGATCAGCTTCGAACAGTGGTGGAATCTGGGGAAAATTGACCTTAGATATGGGGGAGTTGTAGTTTACCTACATCCAAAGGGCACGGTGAACTCAAACGACAATGGATATGTTAAAAACTTGGCACACAAACCCAACATGATCAGTTTCGAACAGTGGTGGAATTTGAGGGAAATTGACCTTGATTTGGGGGAATTGTAGTTCACCCACATCCAAAGAGGATGGTGAACACAAACAATGATGGATATGTACTAAACTTGGCACAAAGACCCAGCATGATCAGCTTCAAATAGTGGTGGAATTTGGGGAAAATTGACCTTGATTTAGAGGAGTTGTAGTTCACCTGCATCCACAGAGCACTGTGAACACAAATGACGATGGATATGGACCAAACTTGGCACACAGACCCAACGTGTCCAGCTTTGAATACTGGCGGGATTTGGGGGGAATTGACTTTCGATTCTGAGGAGTTGTAGTTCGGTTGCATCCACAGAGCTCTGTGAACACAAATGGTGATGGAAATGGACCAAACCTGGTACACAGACCAAAGGTGTCCAGCTTTGAATTCTGGCGGGATTTGGGGGGACTTGACTTTAGATTCCGGGAGTTGTAGTTCTCCCGCATCCACAAAGCATGGTGAACACAAATGACGATGGATATGTTAGAAACTTGGCACACAGACCCAACATGAACAATGTATTGTCGAAGGCTTTCATGGCTGGAATCACTAGGTTCTTGTGTGTTTTTTCGGGTTATATGGCCATGTTCTAGAGGCATTTTCTCCTGACGTTTCGCCTGCATCTATGGCAAGCATCCTCAGAGGTAGTGAGGTCTGTTGGAATTAGGACAATGGGTTTATATATCTGTGGAATGGCTGAGGTGGGGCAAAGAGCTCTTCTCTGCTGGAGCTAGGTGTGAATGTTTCAACTGACCACCTTCATTAGCATTTGAAGGCCTGGCTGAGCCTGGGAAAATCTTTTGTTGAGAGGTGTTAAGATGTGCCTGGTTGTTTCCTCTCTGCTGTTTTGCTGTTGTAATTTTAGAGTTTTTTAATACTGGTAGCCAGATTTTGTTCATTTTCATGGTTTCCTCCTTTCTGTTGAAATGGTCCACATGCTTGTGGATTTCAATGGCTTCTCTGTGTAGTCTGACATGGTGGTTGTGAGAGTGGTCCAGCATTTCTGTGTTCTCAAATAAAATGCTGTGTCCAGTTGTTCATAAGGTACTCTTTTATAGCTGACTTCTCTGGTTGAATGAGTCTGCAGTGCCTTTCATGTTCCTTGATTCGTGTCTGGGCAATACTGTGTTTGGTGGTTCCTATGTAGACTTGTCCACAGCTGCATGGTATTCGGTAGACTCCTGCAGAGGTGAGAGGATCCCTCTTGTCCTTTGCTGAACGTAGCATTTGTTGGATTTTCTTGGTGGGTCTGTAGATAGTTTGTATGTTGTGTTTCCTCATCAGCTTCCCTGTGTGCAGGGGCGGCTCGTCCATTACGCAAAGTAAGCGGTCGCAGTACACTTTTTTTGCCAGGGGCGCAGAGGCGCCTCTGTAAATGCCCCTCGACCACCACTTGAGGAGTGCCCCTTTGGCTCACAACAGCCTTAGCAGTCCGGGGAAAGCCTCAGCAACCTATTACGCAAAGTAAGCACTTGCAGTATAGTTGATTGTGCCCAGGGGCACTCTTGAGGCGCTCTTGGGGGAAAATAGACTTTGATATATGCGAGTTGTAGTTACTGGGAGGTATAGTTCACCTACAATCAAAGAGCATTCTGAACTCCACCAATGATGGAATTGAACCAAATATGGCACACAGAACTCCCACACGAACAGAAACTATATATCAATTATTGGTTGGGGAGGGGGCGCCAAAAGATTGTTTGTATGTTGTGTTTCCTCATCAGCTTCCCTATGCGATCAGTGGTTCCCTTCATGTATGGCAGGAACACTTTTCCTCTGGGTGGATCTTCATCTTTACTCTCGTGGCTTGTTCGATCAGTTTCGAACAGTGGTGGAATTGGGGGAAAATTGACCTTGATTTGGGGGAGTTGTAGTTCACTTGCATCCACAGAGCACTGTGAACACAAAAGATGGTGGAAATGGACCAAACTTGGTACACAGACCCCACGTGTCCAGCTTTGAATACTGGCGGGATTGGGGGGGGGGGGGGATTGACTTTTGATTCTGGGAGTTGTAATTCTCCCGCATGCATCCAGTGTGAACTCTAGAGGACGAGTGTGGACCAAACGTGGAAGTGTCATAAAGCCTGGTCTTGGCGGGACAGCCCTGCCTGCCTGAGCTGCTGGCCATGCACTTCCTCGTCGCCGAGCAAACAAAGCAGGCGTGCCGTGGGGATGCGGGCGCGGCGCGGAGCGGATGCCTGGCTCGCCGGTCCGCCGGATGCCCGGGGCCCGATGCCGCGCCGCCGCAACGCCAGCAGCCTGTTCCCCTTCTTCACGGAGCTGAAGGGCGGCAACGGCGTGGCGCTGACGGTGCTGGAGACGGCGGTGCTGGGCACGGTGCTGGTGCTGGCGGTGGCGGCCAACGGGGCGGCGATCCGCCTGCTGGTGTCGCGGCGGAAGAGCCCGCTGCGCCTCTCGGGCTGCCTGATGCTGAACCTCTTCTGCGCGGACCTGCTCTTCGTGAGCGCCATCCCGCCCATCGCCGTGGTGCGCTGGACCGAGAGCTGGACGTTGGGCGAGGCGCTCTGCCACCTGCTCTTCTACCTGATGAGCCTCAGCGGGAGCGTCACCCTCCTCTCCCTGGCCGCCGTCAGCCTGGAGCGCCTGCTCAGCATCCTCCGCCTCCGCCCCGCCGGGCCCTGCCCCAGGCGCCTCGTCGCCGCCGTCCTGGCCGCCCTCTGGGCCTTCGCCGCCCTCGCCACCCTCCCGCTCTCCCTCTTCTTCACCGTACAGCCCTGCCACACACACGGGAGGGTAAGGCGCCCACGGCACCGGGAAGGAAGGGGGGACACCGCTGCAAGCCTGCCTGGCGCAGGCCGCCGGAAACTTTCGGACTTGGGGGGGTCTATGCATTCACTCCCTGGCTGCCTGGTAATAGACTGGCTGCCTGGTGAAGGAAGGAAGGAAGGATGAAAGGAAGGATGAAAGGAAGGATGAAAGGAAGGAAACGAGGGAAGGATGAAAGGAAGCGAGGGAAGAATGAGAGGAAGGAAGGGAAGAAGGAAGGAAGGAAGGAAAAAGGGAAGGAAGGAAAAAGACAAGGAAGAAAAGACGGAAGGGTGGAAGGGAAGGAGGAAGGAAGAAAGGAAAGACAAAAGGGTAGAAGGGAATGGAAGAAGAGGGAAGGAGAGAGGAAAGAGTGAAGGATGGAAGGAAGAGAAGTAGGAAGGAAAAAGAGAAGGGTGGAAGAGAAGAAAGAAAAAGAAAGAAAGAAGGAAGGAAGGAAGGAAAGGAGGAAGGAAAGAAGGAAGGGAGGAAAGGTAGAGAAAGGAAGGGAGGAAAGGTGAAAGGGGGAAAGGAGAGAGGGAAAGGAGGGAGGAGAAGAGGGAAGGATAGATGGAAGGAAGGAAGGACGGAAGGAAGGGAAGAAGGAAGGAAAAAGAGAAGGAAGGAAGGATGAAAGGGTGGAAGTGAATGGAGGGAGGGAGAAAGGGAGAGAGGGAAGGAGGGGGAAAGAGGGAAGGAAGGAAAGACAAAAGGGAAGGAAGGGTGGAAGGGAGAGGGAAAGAGGGAAGGAAGGAACAAAGGGAAGGAGGAAGGTAGGTAGGTAGAAGGGAATGGAGGAAAGGGGGTGAGAGGGAAGGAAGGAGGAAAGATGGAAGGAAGGGAAAGATGAAAGGGAAGGGTGGAAGGAAGAAGAAAGAGAAAGAAAGAAAGAAAGAAAGACAAAAGTATGGAAGGGAATTGAGGGAAGGAGAAAGAAAGAGGGAGTGTGGCATGGAGGGAGGAAAGGGAAAGAAGGGAAGACAAAAGGGAAGGAAGGATGAAAGGGTGGAAAGGAAGGATGCAGGGAAGGGAAGGAGGGATGAAAAAGGGAAGGAGGAAAAGAGGATAGGTTATATGGCAGTGTAAAATATGGTCCCTTCTACACTGCTATATAATCCAGATTATCAAGAGATAATCCACATTATCTGATATTCAAATTGAATAGCCAAAAAGTTTAGTTTTCAAAAAACTACAGAATTAATAATAGGCAAAACAATAACACGGTGTAACATGATTTTTGTTCCTGGGTTATAAACATCATTTCCTAATTGGTTCTATCATAAAAACATGGGAAAAGTTTATTAAAGTACAAAAACTTTTTTTTGTGGGATATCCTGCTGTAGCACACTTTGCTTTCGTTTTTCAATGAATATCTCATCAAGTCTCAACCAATTCAACATAGTTTGTGGCAGCCCCAAAAACAAAGTTTTTGGAGTATAACAACTACTTTCAAAGTACATACCACACAATTAAACAAGAATAACACTTTTCAAACCAAGAACAGAAACATTTAGTTATTTATTTTATAGTATTTGTATACCGCCCCTCTCAGCCTTCCGGCAACTCGAGGCGGTTTACATTTTGTTGCATAGTGTAATCTGGATTATATGACAGTGTGAATCCAGCCTCAGGATTCCATCGCACTGACTCACGGCAGTTAAAGTGGTGTCTAGTTGCATTCATTCTACGGTGCAGATGCATCCAATGAGCCAGCGTAATGTGATTTAGGGCACTGAGAGACCAGGGTTCAAATCCGGGTCCCACTTATGGTGACTCTAAGGCCTCTTCGACACAGTTTTATAAAATCCAGATTATCTGTTTTGAAGTGGATTATCTGGCAGTGTAGACTTAGACAATCCAATTCAAAGCCGAGAATGTGGATTATCTGCCTTGATATTCTGGATTATATGACAGCGTCAAAAATCCCTAAGGCCCCTTCTACACCCCAGGATCCGATCCCCAGATTATCTGCTTTGAACTGGATTATATGAGTCTACACTGCCAAATAATCTGGAATCAGATCCTGGGATATAGGCCAGTGTTGATACAGCCTCAGGCCTCTTCTACACTGCCATATAAAATCCAGATTATCATCTTTGAACTGGATTATAGAGCAGCGTAGACTCATATAATCCAGTTCAAATCAGATAATTTGGATTATCTGCTTTGATAATACGGATTATAGAAGGGGCTCAGTTTTCATTCTGACCTGAAAACTCTCCAAATTCTTAACATTTGCTAGCAAATGACCAAACGGCTTCTTTAAATAACAGGTGGACTAACTGAGGATATCTTAAGGATGTAGATAAGCGTTATGTCCATTACATCCTGCTGTAGTTTCCATTTCAATTTTCCCTATCTCAATTGCTGCCATTTTTATTGCCAAAACGATCCTTTTGTTTCTTCAGAGCACCTTTCAGCAATAATATCTTTTTTGTCATGTCACGACCAACTTGAGAAAGTCGCTTCTGTTGTGCAAGTCGCTTCTGTTGTGAGAGAATTGGCCGTCTGCAAAGACGTTGCCCAGGGGACGCCCAGATGTTTTGATGTTTTACCATCCATGTGGGAGGCTTCTCTCATGTCCTCACATTTCTCAACCTGGTGGTCGGGACCCCTTGGACAGGTCTTGGGGGGGGGGGTCACTAAAGACCATCAGAAAACGCAGTATTTTCTGTTGATCATGGGGGTTCTATGTCAGAAGTTTGGCCCAATATATCATTGGTGGGGTTCAATGCTCTTTGATTGTAAGTGTACTATAAATCCCAGCAGCTACAACCCCCAAATGTCAAGGTCTATTTTCCCCAAACTCCACCAGTGTTCACATTTGGGCATACTGAGTAGCCATGCCAAGTTTGGTCCATCATTGTTTGAGTCCACAGTGCTCTCTGGGTGTAGGTGAACTACAACTCCAAAATTCAAAATCAATGCCCACCCAAGCCTTCCAGTATTTTCTGTTGGTCATGGGAGTTCTGTGTGCCAAATTTGGTTCGATTCCATTGTTGGTGGAGTTCAGAATGCTGTTTGATTGTAAGTGAACTATAAATCCCAGCACCACAACTCCCAAATGACAAAATCAATCCCCCTCCCAACCCCACTAGTATTCAAACTTGGGCATATCGGGTATTTGTGCCAAATTTGGTCCAGTGAATGAAAATAGATCCTGTATATCAGATGTTTACTTTACTATTTATTTATTTATTTATTTATTTATTTACATTTCATGACAGTAGCAAAATTACAGTTATGAAGTAGCGACAAAATAATGTTATGGTTGGGGGTCACCACAACATGAGGAATTGTATTAAGCTGTTGCGGCATTCAGAAGGTTGAGAACCACTGATGTAGATAATGGGGATTTAGTTCCTTTGCTACCAAGATGGGCTCAGTGTGTTGGTGACAAAAGCATATGTTGCTCTGTCCTTTCTGTCCACTTCTGTATGAACCAGGCAGGTTGAGAAGCATATTCCTGTTTTTCCAGCACAGAAACTGAACAGTCTAGTAGTACTTGCAGGCTGGCAGTGTGATGAAAAGGTCACTCCATCCCTTCATGATCACTTTTTCTTGGTAATTTCTTGTTTGTTGTTGTTCATTCATTCAGTCGTTTCCGACTCTTCGTGACCTCATGGACCAGCCCATGCCAGAGCTCCCTGTTGGCCGTCACCACCCCCAGCTCCTTCAAGGTCAAGCTAGTCACTTCAAGGATACCATCCATCCATCTTGCCCTTGGTCGGCTTATCTTCCTTTTTCCTTCCATTTTCCCCAGCATCATACTCTTCTTTAAGCTTTCCTTTCTTCTCATGATGTGGCCAAAGTACTTCATTTTTGCCTCTACTATCCTTCCCTCCAATGAGCAGTCGGGCTTTTGCCAGTTATATAGGAGAGGATATTTATATTCCACCCTTCTCTCAGAGGGAATCAGAGTGGATTACAACATATAAAGAAACACAGGCAAACATTCAACGCCTTGTTACAATGAAATACAATGAAACACAAATACACAGACAAAGGCAAAGGCTTCTCCTTTCATTTCCAGCTCTGGAGGTGGTGCTCATCTCCGGCTCTGGGGGAGGTGCTCATCACTATTTCCAAGCCAAGGACCCTGTGTTGTCCGTAGACACCTCCTGGTTGTGTAGCCAGCATGAAGTTCCCCCAAAGCTGAGAATCCAGAGTTGGATGATTCTTAAGACTAGAATGTGAATGGCCTACATGCACGAGCATCACAATTGTTTATGGCAGTGGTTCTCAACCTTCCGAATGCCCTTAATACCGTTCCTCAACCTACCCCTTAATACCATTCCTCATGTTGCAGTGACCCCAACCATAAAATGACTTTCGTTGCTATTTCATAACTGTAATTTTGTTATTGGTATGAAGCATAATGTAAATATCTGATATGCAGGGTGTATTTTCATTCACTGGATCAAATTTGGCACAAATACCCAATACGCCCAAATCTGAATACTGGTGGAGTTGGTGGGGAAGTGATTTTGTCATTTGGGAGTTGTAGTTGCTGGATTTATAGTTCACCTACAATCAAAGAGCATCCTGAACTCCACCAATGATGGAATTGAACCAAACTTGGCACACAGCACTCCCGTGACCAACAGAAAATACTGGAAGGGTTTGGTGGGCATTGACCTTGAATTTTAGAGTTGTAGTTCACCTACATCCAGAGATCACTGTGGATTCAAACAATGATAGATCTGGACCAAACTTGGCACGGATACTCAATATGCCCAAATGTGAACACTGGTGGAGTTTGGGGGAAAATAGACCTTGACCTTTGGGAGTTGTAGTTGCTGGGATTTATAGTTCACCTACAATCAAAGAGTATTCTGAACTCCACCAACGATAGAATTGGGCCAAACTTGGCACACAGAACCCCCATGACCAACAGAAAATACTGTGTTTTCTGATGGTCTTTGGCAACCCCTCTGATGCCCCTCGCGACCCCCCCCCGGGGTCCCGACCCCCAGGTTGAGAAACACTGGTTTATGGCAAGCCAGGTTTATTCAGGCTCCTTCTACACTGCCATAAAAATCCAGATTATCTTCTTGAACTGGATTATATGACAGTGTAGATGTATATAATCCATTTCAAAGCAAATAATGTGGATTACCTGTTTTGATAATCTGCATTATATAACAATGTAGACGGGACTTCAGTCTTGATGTAGACAATATAATGAGCCTTTGTTGTCCATTGGATTTTGGTTCAAGGACTCCATGAATGCCTAAATCAATAGATCAGGGGTCCTCAAACTAAGGCCTGGGGGCCGGATACGGCCCTCCAAGGTCATTTACTCTGCCCTCACTCAGGGTCAACCTAAGTCGGAAACGACTTGAAAGCACAACAACAACAATCCTATCTCATCAGCCAAAGCAGGTCTACACTTCCTATTGAAATACTAATAAGTTTATATTTGTTAAAATTGTTCTTCATTTTAATTATTATATTGTTTAAAGTGTTTTTTGCACTACAAATAAGATATGTGCATAGGAATTCGTTCATGTTTTTTTTTTTCAAATTATAATCCGGCCCTCCAATAGTTTGAGGAACTGTGACCTGGCCCTCTGTTTAAAAAGTTTGAGGACCCCTGCTATAGATGTTAAAGGCCCATTGTTTACAATGGCACAGTAAAATGATATCCCTATATAACATTGCAAAGTTAAGGTTAGCCTTGTGAATGTTTTAAAAATGTTTTCATACTGTGGTCGGTGGAATACATGGATATAAAATCCATGGATATGGTGGGCCAACTGTAGTCAGCTAGATGTGTTAATGGTGTATGGTAGATCCCTCTTATGCAAATCGTTACCGACACTGGAATCAAACCTCTGTAAGGCTTGCTTTTATCCTGTCAATAATATTATCATTCTTGTTTAACTGACCTGGGTATTATTTCCAAAATAAAAATGTACTCAGTATGCAAAAAGAAAATGCGATAGCAGAAAAAGTGATAGTGGCAGTGCCCTATGTGGACAGCAGACTGGTCTGAATTGGACCTGATTCTGCTGTCCATGCTGTCCCAAAACTATAGGATACTCCAGAGTTTCAAGCAAACTCTGGAAGATCCCTAGACTTTTCCTGAAGTGAGGTAAAATCTACAATATATATTTATTTATTTAGACCATTTCTACCCCGCCCTTCTAACCCTCGAGAGGGGACTCAGGGCGGCGAATACAGGCAACTATTCAATGCCAACAGTATCAAAACAACAATATAAAACAGCAATATAAAATCCATTACGTAACAATTAAGCAGTGACATTAATAAAAATTACATAACCACATAGAGCAGATCACAGAATCACAGGTCATAAAGCCATTCCAATTTTCAAACAAACCTATTGTCTGAGTTTGGTGCCTAAAGTGCTGTTGTGCCCACTAGCCAAAGGCCTGGCTCCAAAACCACGTCTTTAGTTTTTTCCTAAAAGTCAGGAGGGAGGATGCCGATCTAATCTCACTGGGGAGCGAATTCCACAAGCAGGGGGTCACCACCGAGAAGGCCCTGTCCCTCGTCCCCACCAGACGTTTTTGAGACACTGGTGGGACCGATGGCAGGGCCTCCACAGTAGATCTTAAATTACGAGGTGGAACATAGAGAGAGATACGTTCGGATAAGTAAGCTGGGCCGGAGCCGTATAGGGTTTTATAGGCCAAGACCAGAATTGTGCTCGGAGGTGGACCGGCAGCCAGTGGAGCTGATGCAGCAGGGGGGTGGTATGCTCCCTGTATGACGCTCCAGTAAGTAATCTGGCTGCTGCCCGTTGGACTAGTTGAAGTCTCCGAACAGTCTTCAAAGGCAACCCCACGTAGCGTGTGTTGCAGTAATCTATTTGGGATGTAACCAGAGCGTGGACCAGAAGTGGAAGAACATCGTAAAGAGAACCATGAGCCAACTCAGAGTAACTCTAGCTGTTGATACCCATGTACACAAGTCTTTACAGTAGACCTATTGAAATAAATGGGATTTAAATTATCATGACCAATCTAACTTACAGTGATTAGAATGAATCCATTCTAAGTATATCCAAATATTAATCCAAGACAATGTGGACAAAACAATATTTGCTGATGAACTGATGATCTGATTTTGAAAAGTCATTGTTTACTGTTGTAAAGGAGAGGTTGTACTATTCATGTGGAAGAACACACAAATTCTGTTGTACTTAAATATTTGTGAGAACGAACTTAACATATAGAAAAGCAGCGTTCAATGCAAACCACAGTAGACATCAGAAGAGTATACTCAGGCCCTTTCTACACTACGCCATATAAAATCCATACTATCTGCTTTGAACTGGATAATATAGCAGTGTAGAAGGGGTCTCGGTAGGGCATATTGTCACGCCTTCTCCTTTTCTTCATATCTTACACCTGTTGCTTTAAGGAAATCAGATTTAATGCAAGTAAAATGACATTAAAATAGCTTCTTGTATTTGTTAAGTGATTTTATTACGATGCTATAATCATTTAGTCCCAATCATTTTTGCTTTCCATATCTTGTCAGTTTATACATCTTTATTTGAGCGTACTCCCTATTGCCGTAATAAATGTATTTTGCTTATTAACTATTTCCATACGTCTTGTTTGGTTAGCGATGATCTGTGTTCAGAACAGGCACCAAGCCAGAACAAATTGATATATTGCTTGCAAACTTTATAGTGAAGGTAAATAACCAAACAAATTGCTTACAGAGCTTTTGTCCATTCTTTCCAGGAAGTGTACATTTGCACCTTGATGTGGCCCAGCACGGCAGGAGAAATCTCATGGGATGTGTCTTTTGCCGTCGTGGTCTTCCTCGTACCCGGACTTGTGATTGTAATAAGTTATTCAAAGATTTTACAGGTATTTATTTATTTATTTACTTACTGTATTTGTATACTGCCCTTCTCATCCCTCAGGCGCCTCAGGACGGTTTACAATGGCAACGATTCAATGCCCCAAAACACCATAAAACATTTAAAACATTTACATAAAATATAAAACCATAACACGAATATTAAAACATATTAAAAGATCATTTGAGTCTCTTAATTAAAAAAGTCCAATCTTGTCGTCCAGTCATTCCAATTCCTATGTCTTTTACCTTGCATTTTCAAACCCTTGCTCAAACAACCAAGTCTTGACTGTTTTTCAAAATGTTAAGCGGCAGGGGGCTGATCTAATATCCCCAGGGAGGGCATTCCATAGGCGAGGAGCCACCACTGAGAAGGCCCTGTCTCTCGTTCCCACCAAACGTGTTTATGACGCAGACGGGATCGAGAGCAGGGCCTCCCCCTTAAAAAAAAAGAATATTCACTTACATTATTTGAAAGTAGTGGTAATAATAATAATAATAATAATAATAATAATAATAATACACTTTCTTTATGTTTCTCTCTATCTCCCTGAGGGGACTCAGAGCGGATTACAGTATATACATATATAGACAAACATTCAGTGCCTTTTATACAGTGAACAACAATGACATACAATACACAAACAAAGGCAAAGGTTTCCCTTTCCATCTCCGGCGTCTGGAGGCAATGCTCAACTCTGGCCATGAGGAGGTGCTCTTGTTCCATTTTCTATGCCGAGGAACCTGTTGTCTATAGACCCCTCCTGGTCTAGTTCCATGGGCGCCTTTTACCTTCCCATCAAGGCGGCACCTATTGATCTACTCACATTGCATGTTTTTGAACTGCTAGGTTGGCAAACAATGGGAGCTCACCCCGACCAATTGCTTTGAACTGCTAGCCTTCTGGTCAAAGTTTTTCTGCAGCTAGCGGTTTAGCCTGGTGTACTACTACGGCCCCTATACCCCAGAAACGTCATTTTTGTGGCTGCCACAAACTATGTTGAATTGGTTTAGACTCGATGAGATATTCACGGAAAAACTATAGCAAAATGTGCTGCATGATGTCCCACAAACCTAGGGGGTGTTGTGCTTTGCTTCTACAGTGTTGCTAAAGTTCTGGTGATGAACATTTCAGAACTCTACCAAAACTTTCAAAATATTATTATAAATGGACGTTCCTAATTGGTTTTGTTAGAAATAATGAAATAATAATGACATTTTGAAAGTTTTGTTAGAGTTCTGAAATTTTCACCACCAGAACTTTAGCAACACTGTAGAAGCAAAGCACCAGCGCCCTCTAGTTTTGTAAGTACTTTAGAACCATGGATTGCCCATGCCTAATACACATATAAGGCAAACATTCAATGTCTTTTACACACTAAACAAACAACATACAATACACAGACAGGTAAAAGCCTTCCCCTTCCATCTCTGGCGTCTGGAGGTGATGCTCAACTCCGGCCATGGGGAGGTGCTTTTGTTCCATTTTTCCATACCGAGGAGCCTGTTGTCCATAGACATCTCCTGACAGCCCTAGCTTCTACCAACTTAGCGATTCGAAAGCATGTAATGTGAGTAGATCAATAGATACCGCCTTGGAAGAAAGTAAAGGGCACCCCATGTGCCCCATGAGTTTCCGGCATTTATGCATGGGACACCATTTTACCTTCCTGCCAAGGCAGTACCTATTGATCTACTTACATTATATGCTTTCAAACTGCTAGGTTGGCAGAAACTAGGACTGACAGTCCCTAGTTTCAGTTAGCTCTGAACTGCTAACCCTCCGGTCAACAGATTTCCTACAGCTAGCAGTTTAACCCACTGTGCTACAGCAGCCCTTACAGCAACACACACATTCACATTTTTTACACTTCACTAGCAATTTTTATTTATGAAATCCTCTTGACAGTGACATCTCAATGCCTGGAACACAGTTTTGCAGATACATTAAATATGCATTGCCCAAAGAAAAAGTCATCCTCCCAATTTATGTTCATTGCAATGGCCAAACAGGGACACAGAGAACTGCTGTGAGGAAGATACACCATCCATATCCCATCTTTCCCTGGTAGATGGTGCTAGAGAGCCATGCATGGATTAAAATCCCCATGGGTCAGGATACTGGACATAATTTCTCTACAAAATTATGTTTGGTACCATGAGAACATTTTGGAAGAGCCAAATTAAGAGAAATCGATATTTAAAAGAACACTATCCTTTGTGATAGTGTCCATTTGCAATTCGGTAATTTTATGTGAATTTAGGAGTGTACTGTGGTGAAGAACGTAAGAAGCTATCTTATATTGACATACTTTAATTAATGTTTGTTGTAGTTTACATATATTAAATTTACACCAAGCACTTCTATAAAAAACTAGAAACAAGCTAGGAATTGTGATGAAGCATTGATTTTTAACTGTAAGTTAAGCATAGTTATGTATATGTGTCTCTACAGTTAAATATGACTGTATATATATGTGTGTGTATATATATATATATATGCTTAGATGGTTGAATATTATTATATGTATGTGTTCAGGAGGTAAAAGACAGCTATGGATGTACATAAAGGGTTAACCATTTAGAAATGGCAGAACTAGGGGGATGGGACCAAGCTCAGCACTCTGAGTTAGGTTGCCATGAAGAAAGGGGTGGAGCCAACTGCACTTATCAGAAGCAGACATTTTGAGGCTTCAATCCTTCGGTCATCAAGCCAAAGGGAAGGTGGTTCAAACATGTGGTGAACCAAACTAAGGGAAAGCTTTTAGCCTGAGTGATTTAAATAAGTCAAGGGGACTTACTGCATATACTCGAGTATAAGCCTAGTTCTTCAGTCCTTTTTTAGGCTGAAAAAGTCTCCCTTGGCTTATACTAGAGTCAAGGTTTTTTATTATTTTACTCTATTATTATTATTATTATTATTATTATTATTATTATATTAATCATTTTACTCTATTATTATTATTACATTTATTTTATTCCTTATTGTTATTATTACATTAATTATTTTACTCTATTATTATTGGAAGGATATGTTAACACATTTACACCGAAGAAGGTTAGAATAATGCTTTAATCAGAGGACAGTCTTATCTTGTTTATTCAAAAACATTTAACCTACTGAGCCCTCAATTAATGCAATTTTATTGGTATCTATTTTTATTTTGGAATTTACCAAAAGTTGCTGCATTTCCCACCCTTGGCTTATACTCGAGTCAATCTGTTTTCCCAGTTTTTTGTTGTGCCTCGGCTTATATTTGGGTCGGCTTATACTCGAGTATATACCGCATTTAGGTTTGTGGTTTAGTTGTGTGCTAATAGGGGAAGAAATCCCACTGGGAATCTTTACTTCAGCAGGAGGCTGAAGGGAGACAAGGGCATTAGCTGACCTTAGTTAATCTATCAAATGAGGAAACATATTTAGAAGTGTAACAACTAAAGAACTAGTTGGTGAAGTAAAAGACATTCTAAAGTTATATTAAGATTTGTTGAAACTGTAACTCATGATGCTTTATACCTCAGAAGAGAACTCTGAAACTATTAAGACCCTTCCATACTCCAAATAAACTTGTTTTTGTTTTAGTAACTGAAGCCTCTGGGTACTATTTTTTTTTAAAACCCTCGCTACCCACCAAAAGAAACGCTACAGAGTGGTAGCAGTGAAACTATTTGAAAATAGGGGAATCCATTAATAAACTGAATAGGAAACCCTTATTAATTGGTGGCAGCATGGCCTAGTACCTCACAGATGGTGGCACCATACTAGATTAAATAGAATATCAGACAACGAAGAGGAAGCCTTTACAGGAATAAACTATGAACATCCAATAAGCTACCTTAAATTGAGTTAGGGCCCTTCCATGCAGCCATATAACCCAGAATATCAAGGCAGAAAATCCCACAATATCTGCTTATAACTGGGCTATCTGAGTTCACACTGCAATATATTCCAGTTCAAAGCAGAAAATGTGAGATTTTATTCAGCTGTGTGGAAGGAGCCTTAGTTTATACATCTGAGTGGACCATTTCTCCCAATCCAAAGTGGACAAAGTGTTCTAGTCTTTGGGATCTTTTTTCATTCATAACCATTAGCCAAATCCAAAAAAGTTGAAATACCAAATTTTGAGAACTTTATGCAATCTGATATTTTTACCCATACTTGCACGAATGATCTCTGGTATTTTCTCCAAGTTTCTTGTTTAGAAAGAATTTTTCTAAAACTGTGTTTTCTACATCACCATGGCTTAGATCAGGGGTCCACAAACTTTTTAAACAGAGGGCCAGGTCACAGTCCCTCAAATTGTTGGAGGTCCAGATTATAATTTGAAAAAAGAAGAAGAATGAATTCCTATGTACATTGCACATATCTTATTTGTAGTGCAAAAAACACTGAAAAACAATACAATAATTAAAATGAAGAACAATTTTAACAAATATAAACTTATTAGTATTTCAATGGGAAGTGTGGGCTTGCTGATGAGGTAGGATTGTTGTTGTTGTTGTTATGTGCTTTCAAGTCATTTTAGACTTGTTGACCCTGAGTGAGGGCCAAGTAAATGACCTTGGAGGGCCGTATCTGACCCCCGGGCCTTAGTTTGAGGACCCCTGGGTTAGATAGTATGTATTTTATCAACATTTCTTCTCTGGAGGAAGGCCTTCTTTGAAGGTGGGCTGTACAGTGAAACCTCGCAAGCAAATCAGCTTATGAGCTTTTTGAGATATGACCCATTGCTTGGTCAATTTTTTTCATTGACACACGAGCCAAAATTTGAGTTACAAGCTAGTGCAACAGTATGCCACCCTTCATCTTAAGCAGGGCTTTAAGAGAGCAGCCAGGAAAGCTCCTTGCTCTTGTCCTTGCTGTTATTTCTGCAATCCCAGGGCTTTGGAAGATTGTAGGAAAACTAATGGTCATCAGTAAACTTCGACCCTGACTAAAATAGGCAAGCTACACAGATACCTGTCGTTCTAACTGATCATTGCAGAAGAATTTTACTGAAGTTTCTCACTATAGCAGGAAAAAGAAATTTATGTTATTGATTTATAACCTTCCAATCCTGCCCCCTTCTCCAATCGACTTTCCTCCCTTCCCTTCCCCTTCCCCTTCCCCTTCCCCTCCCTTCCCTTCCCCTTCCCCTTCCCTTCCCTTCCCTCCCCTCCCCTTCCTTCCCCTTCCCCTTCCCCCTCCCCTTCCCCTTCCCCTTCCCCTTCCCCTTCCTCTTCCCCCTCCCCTTCCCTTTCCCCTCTCCACCCCACCCCACCCCACCCTACTTTACCCTATCCTAAATAAATCCAGTTTATTTATTTAAATTTTCTTTTATTATGCATTACAATTTGTCTACATTATTTGTTTTTTATAAAGTACATTTTTCTTATATAAAAACACATAACAAAAATTGTGTGGTTTTGGGGGTTGGAACAGATTAATAGCAATTCAATTCATTTCAGTGGGGAAATTTCATTTGACATAAGAGCAGTTTGAGTTAAGAGCTCTGTCATAGAACAAATTAAACTTAGCAGGCCTGTAGCCAGGATTTAAATTCGGGGGGGGGGGGGGGCTGAGTTTCGGGGGGGGGCTGAATCTGAGTGAAAGAGGGTCTACCCTAGCAAACCTTTTGTATCATTACCCCAATACCCCCATGCATATGGGATATATTGAGTATGGTGATCAGATCATGATATGAATAAACATAACAGTTTAAATAATGCAGCAGTAAGGCCTTTTCGTGAACCACCATGAGAATTTGGGGGGGGGGCCCCCCCCCCCCCCCCCCCCCGGCTACATGCCTGAGTCAAGATATCACTATTCTCATGTGGGAAAGGTGGGCACAGCATCTTAACACTTGGACACATTGGGCAGTTGGCCAGGGACCACACAAGCATAGGGACCCCATGCTAATCTATGCACAGACTGGAATTAAACATGAATATTTGATCATCCATCTCAACATTGAAATCCTTGGCTTGTGGCAGACAGTTAATATGTTTGCATAAGCAAGATAAATGTTAACATGTTATTTCTCGCAATGTTATAGAAGCAGAATATTGTAATAGATTCACTGGAGGCAATTAATAGCTGGGGACAACAGTTGTTGACAATGCGCATTTCCATTATTGGAAGCAGAGTCTTTACTGTTTACATTTAAATTCTTATTCTCATGAGTGCTTGTGTAAGCTGGGTCCAGTGCGGGGCTGTAATACTTTTAAGAGGGCCCTTGATGGACATAACAAATAATAAAGTTCTCCTCTTCCAGATAGTTGCTATAATCTGGCAGGCTACATTTCACAGTAAAGGCAAGTGAAAACCTCTGGAATCAAGTGATAACAAAGCAGACCCTAAAAACCAATAGTTTGTTTGTTTGTTTGTATTTACCATATATCTTCCTTTTTCTCTGAGAATGGCACTCAAGGCAGCTAACAATATTAAAATGAAATAAAACAAATACAAATAAATTAGATAAGATTAGATCCAAAGAGGAAAGAGATAGCTAACTAATCCCTGATATTATATTTCTAGTGTCCTAGTTCGTAAATTAAAATCTGACTTTAATTCAATAAAATCAATATAAAAATTCCTAGTTTATCTCAAGTGTCACATAGTTAATGAAAAATGATGCCTAAAGAAGGAAAGGCACATCTTTCGTGATCAGCTTATGCAATCACGTATTAGACAAATATAGCTTTCATTTCCCCCCCAAAAGAAGAGGGGAGACGGAAGAACAATGCAGTACAGGTGCATGCAAAACAATTGTCAGAGGGGGAGAAAACAAAGTAAAAGGCATAGAAGAAACCAAATGAAAGGCAATCAGGGGGAAAACCTTTTCATAATATTCAAAAAGTATACAAATCATGATGCAATGGTATTCAATGTTTTCTTCTCTCTTTTCTAAGAGGAAACAAAACTACTATATGTCCTACTTTATTAAGACCTCATCAGACAGGGTGCTTCTCAGTGGCATACGCTGGTTAACCTTCCCTTTTGTGATGGAGTCTATTGGCTCCCATCCCACAACATAGAGCCACTTTCGGTGGGTCTCCGTTGCGAAGGGGAAGGTCAACCGGCATATGCCATGGCAGCGGCAACATAGGAGGCTTCTCGTATTACTATGCATATCAGCGGTGGGAAGCCGGGTGTCTGATGTCCACTGTTGGATAGGGCGACAGGCGAGTCGGGAAATGCAGGGCATGGGGCAACGGGTTTTCTATGCTCCCAACAGGCACCAATGTGTAGCAATTCCAGTGGCAAGTCTGATGAGGTCATAAGTCATAAATTTTCTGACAAAAATTAGGACACCCCCCCCCCCAAAAAAAACCCTGAGTCAACTTATACATAGGTCATTTCTAGAATACGATCCAGCATGTAGGCAGACTTGGCCATGGTGGTCCATGCTCTCATTACATCTAGGATAGACTACTGCAACACRSTCTACGTGGGGTTGCCTTTGAAGACTGCTCGGAAGCTTCAAATAGTCCAACAAGAGGCAGCCAGGTTAATAACTGGGGTGGCATACAGGGAGCATACAACTCCCATGTTACGCCAGCTCCACTGGCTGCCAGTTTGCTACCGGGCACAATTCAAAGTGCTGGCTTTGGCCTATAAAGCCCTAAACGGCCCTGACCCAAATTACCTGTCCGAACGCATCTCCCCCTAAGAACCATCACAGAGATTAGGTCCTGCAGGGAGGCCCTGCTTTCCGTCCTGCCATTGTCACAGGCAYGATTGGTGGGGRCAAGAGACAGGGCCTTCTCGGTGATTTCTCCCGGGCTATGGAACTCCCTTCCTGGTGAGATCAGGTCGGCCCCCTCTCTCCTGTCCTTTAGAAGGATGGTAAAAACTTGGCCRTGGGACCAAGCTTTCGGGACAGGGCAATAAAGCGGCAATAGGAAAGATGACCAGGCCAATTAGATTTGAAGTGGATGACTAGGATGGTTTTAAATGGTGTATTTTAATATTTTGATAAATATTTTTTAATGTTTATGTATTGTATGTGAATCAGTGTCCCGGCATTGAATGTTTGCCGTGTATATGCTGTGCTCTGCCCTGAGTCCCCTTTGGGGTGAGAAGGGCGGAATATGAATAAATAGGCAGTGACAAGAGGTAGGGGTTGTTGTGTGCTTTCAAGTAATTTCAGACTTAGGTTGACCCTGAGCGAGGGTCGGGCAAATGACCTTGGAGGGCCATATCCGGCCCTCTGGCCTTAGGACCCCTGGCATAGTGCTTGTATGCAACAAAATTAAGGTTTGTTTTGTGGCTTATTCCCCCCTAAATATGTCTGAGCTGTGGTTGGTTGAATCTGTGGGAACAAAACCCATGGATATAGAAGGGTGACTGTACTTTTGTCACTGAAAAATAGTAAATATATCATCTTGAGCTGCAATTTACAAATGCAATACACATCATTTGTTTTCAAAGCTTTGTGAAAAGTTTGACTAAATTATTATTGCATGTTTTAATTCAGATTGCAAAAGCATCGCGGAGACGTCTGGATGCGGGCATGGCCTACTCTGTGAGTAGCCACATAAGAATCTCCCGACAGGACTTCAAGCTGCTACGGACTCTATTTGTGTTGATGATTTCATTCTTTGTCATGTGGAGCCCAATTATCGTCACCATACTCCTCATTTTAGTCCAGGAACTGAAACCAGAGATGAACATCGTGCCTACTTTCTTCTTCTGGGTCATGGCCTTCACATTTTCCAATTCAGTGGTGAATCCAGTTTTATACAACATGGCTCATTTCAAACATGAGTGGAGGAGAATCTTTTTCTGTTGCCCAGGAAATTCTCGGAGAAAGACTGTGACAGACACTACTCTGAGGCACCATAACAATGGACATTGCTCAGTGTCTGCAATCTCCAGATAACTATTTGCAGTGTTTCTGATAAGGATGATCTTACCAGCTTCTTAAAGATGTGCTAAAATATACATTTCGGAAGACAAGAAGATTTTGGAAAATACTGGATTTTGCAGCCTTTGCACTAACATCATGCCAAATATTGTAGTACTAAGAAATCTACTAGTACTGCAAAGAGGACTTTGCTTCTCTTGCTGTAGCAAGATTAAAGTATACTGTAGTACAGGCAGTTTTGTTCAGAGCATGAGTAAGTTTCACATTTTGCCATGTACTAATGAAAATGACTTTTCTCCCTGCCTCCAGGATCTTCCATACAGAGGATAGCTGCACTTGACGGGAAGCCATGGCACACCTTCTAGAAATGCATAGTTAGGGAGGGAGGGAGGGAAAGAGACAGACAAGGACATAGCCAAATATTCAGGTATACTTACCAGATTCACAAGAGAAAATGTCAGCTCCAGAGAGACTCAAACACTGAGTACAGTTTTTCTTTTGTGTCAGGAGCGACTTGAAAAACTGCAAGTTGCTTCTGGTGTGAGAGAATTGACTGTCTGCAAGGACGTTGCCCAGGGGATGCCTTGATGTTTGATGTTTTACCATCCTGTGGGAAACTTTTCTCATGCCCCTGCATGGGAAGCTGGAGCTGATAGAAGGGAGCTCACTCCGCTCCTCAGATTCGAACCGCAGACCTTTCGGTCACCAGTCCTGCCAGCACAAGGGTTTAACCCATTGCACTACCGAGGGCTCCACATTGAGTACAATAGCAATTTTAAGTTATATTATGAGACACTGTCTATGACCTTTTCTCTAATACTAGATACATGTTGAGTACAGTATGACCCTCATACCTGTACTTTCATCTACCTGCATTTGACAAAATTATCTAGGATTTTGTTTTATCCTGCAGGTGATTTCATTGTATATTGACATCTGAAATTACCATAAAGTTGTACTGGAAGATTTATCAAATTCCTAGAAAAGCTATAATGCTAGGAATTTTTTAGGTCCTCCGGGGCAACTCTGTGGCAGGCTGTGGCAGAAGGTGTCTGTCTCCAGAATAAGTTTAGGAAAGTATCCCCTGTGGATATGCGGTTCATACTATACTGTATATAGAGGAAAAGTGCATCTTCTTGCCAGTGGAAAAGGGTGTCAAATAATGGAGAGTACTCTAGTATGGTGCATACCAGTACATAAAAAGTTATTTTCTCAGGCACTTATTAAACAAGAGAGTAAGGAGGGAATGACCATGAGTATACACATCCCAGCCGTTTACTTTATGGGCCACAGTAGCATGTCCTAATAAAATATAGCACAGTAACCTTGTTGAAGCTCAGTGGGCTTGAATCTGGATGGAAGAACAAAATGTACTCAGGGAGGAGAAACACAACCTAGTAAACATTGGTTAAGCAAGAATTAGGGAAGCTGCTCCTCAAGGACATCAGGACTGTGTTGTTTCCTGCTGTGTCCCTTGTTTGTGAAATCAGAGTCTAAAGGCCGTGTGCTTATTTGGAAAGCAACCCAGACTGAGATCCATGACTTTAGTAAAGATTCCGAGAATCAGGTTATATGTGGATATGGTTTTGTGCATCTATCCTCTAAATCAGGGGTCCTCAAACTTTTTAAACAGAGGGCCAGGTCACAGTCCTTCAAACAGTTGGAAGGACAGATTATAATTTGAAAAAAACACGAATGAATTCCTATGCACACTGCACATATCTTATTTGTAGTGCAAAAAACACTTAAAACAATACAATAATTGAAATGAAGAAAAATTTTAACAAATATAAAATTTATTAGTATTTCAGTGGGAAGTGTGGGCCTGCTTTTGGCCGATGAGATAGGATTGTTGTGGTTGTGTGCTTTCAAGTCGTTTCAGACTTAGATTGACCCTAAGTGAGGGCTGGGTAAATGACCATGGAGGGCTGAATCTGGGCCCCGGGCCATAGTTTGAGGACCCCCTGCTCTAAATAGATCTTTAGTCAAGTACAGGTTGAGCAACTCTCATCTAGAATTCCAAAATCTGAAATTCTCCACAAAATCTGAAATTGTGCACATGGATGGATGAAGTGGTGGCGTCTTTGCTTTCTGACGCTTCAGTGTGCACAGACTTTGTTTCATTATTTAAAAATTGTGTACAAAATTGCTCACGGGTTGTATATAAGATGTATATTAAACATAAAGAAATGTCAACTTTGGACTTTGGGTCTCGTCTCCAAGATATGTCATTCAGTAAGTTAATGCAAATTCAGGTATTCTGCAATCTAAAATACTGTTTGTCCCAAGCATTTTGGACAAAGGATATTCAGCCTGTATGTCATAGTGAAGTTTTTTATGAATACTTAATCTCTTTTCCTAAGGTGGAGAGGTTCCGCTAGTACAGTGGTTCCCAACCTTTTTTTGACCAGGGACCACTTGACCAGGGAGCACTCTCCATTAGTACCAAAAGGATTATGAATCAGTTTTTGGTCAACTTTAGATTCGGTTTGGTTATTTGGGGTGCTGATTCAGAAAATTGTATTGGATAGACCACATCAGATCTAATTTCTGATATAGAACAGATGCCATTCAGTAGTCACTATCTGCTCACCCACAGAAAATCATATTTAATAATCTAGAGCTGATGTTGTAGTAATTTTTCATGAACCTCTCCCCTCCTGACATCCCTGTTGCCTTGGCACTATAAGAGGGCTTCATGAGACCAGTTGTTCTTGTTGCCATGTGTTGCCAAGGCAACGGTGTAGTAATGGTGAGGCCATGGACCAAAAATTTTGTTCTTTTGTTCACTGGTGGTCTGTGGACCACTGGTAGTCCATGGACCGCAGGTTGGGAACACTGTGCTAGTAGGCTGTAAGTTGTGATGACCTTCAAATTAATTGCAGCCAAAGTCATACAGTGAGAGTTGTAGTAGTACAGTAATGTTGCAGCATTGTGTACCTATGCTATGTTTCCAAATGCTTTCTTCCCACTCTACAAAAAATTCCCAAAATGGGAATTTCCGATTTGGAAGAGAGCAAGGTTGGTGGTGAGATAGGAAATGCCCGGCCCTCTTCCTGTGGGTAACATATTCTAGTCCAACACCAGCTACCACGGACACATTGAAAAAATCTCTGCTTAATGGTTCTGATATAAAATTGCCAGGGTAGAGTTGGGTAGGGAAGACTAGTAGTGAAATGGGTTGGGGTAATAGGCCGGGCTTTAGCACAGCAGGTTAACTGCGAACTGCAGTAAATCTTGCCAACCATAAAGTTGACAGTTTGAAGCCCGGGTCAGGGTGAGCACCCGGTCTTTAGCCCAGCCTACCTAGCAGTTTCAAAAACAGCAATGTGGGTAGATCAATAGGTACCGCTTAAGTGGGGAGGTACAGGGTGAGGCAGCATAACTTCCTTTTTTAAAATGCGCACCATTCAGTCGGTTGAAGACGTAGCGGAGCGCTAGTGGTCTCGTACGAGAAGCGGGAGTATAAAGTTTTGTCCTGACATAGTTCAGTCACCATCATGCGTTGGAACAGTGAGGAGCGTGCTTTTGCCCTTGAGGCCTATTTTTCGAGCGGATTTGGAGTGGCCGGTCCGCTCTCCAGATTTGGTCCCTTTTTTTTCTATGGGATTTTTTTGAAATCCCATGTTTATGTAAACCGTCCAAGGACCCTACAAGATTTGAAGACCCAACATCCAGGAAGAAATTGCCAACGTAACACCTGCTATGCTGGCAAGAGTAATGAGAAACACCACAAATCGGTTTACTCAGTGTATGTAGAATGGGGGATGTCACCTACCTAATTTGATCTTCAAAACTACGTAAAACAAAATTTTAGATGTGCGCCTACATTATAAAAAAAATAATAAAAATTTTCTGATTCATATAATGAGTTTTATTAAGTTTTGAAAAAAGGAAGTTATGCTGCCTCACTCTGTATTTAAGGCACTGATAAAAAAAATGCTGGTGATTCGATCAAGGAGGAAGTTTACGTACAAAAAAGCTCTTCAGCAGGGAAAGTGGAGTGACAGTAGCCTTCTGTGACTAGAACCGAGCACAGCCTCCAAGATGCTGAAGATGAGAAGGCCTATATATACCTTTATCTAAAAACAGTTGTCTGTCTTGTCAGTGTATAACGGCACTGAATGTTTGCCGTATATGTGTTCTGTGATTTGCTCTGAGTCTGCTTCGGGGTGAGAAGGGTGGAATATAAATAAATAATAGGCACATTAAATTTCAAAGTCATAAGAGTTTGCAGACTTTTAATAAGGTGCAAGCTTTAATATTAAAAGGAGGTAAATGGTCTGTGTGTCAGATTACATACTATGAATTGAAATCCACTGGTAGTGTGTTTGCAATGCAAGCAGTATTCCATTCAAATAATCTCCATTTATTAAATTCCACTGACTTGCTGGCAGGATAAATGGCACAATTCAGATAAATATAGTCACTAAATGAATCCCCTTGAATGCCTTCCTACAAAACAGTTTATACATTTTACAACTACGTAATGGCTCCCGTCGAGTACATTCTTCTTAAGAAGAGCAGTATCCTAAAAAGGAAAACAATCAGAAAGAGAGAACAAACCATCAAAATCCCTGATCAAAGTTCTCATCCAAAAATACAAAAGAGAAACAGTAAATTAGGGATAGTGATTTTCTTTTTCATGTCAGGAGTGACATGAGAAACTGCAAGTTGCTTCTGGTGTGAGAGAATTGGCTGTCTGCAAAAAATGTTGCCCTGGGGATGCCCAGATGTGTTACCATCCTGTGGGAGGCTTCTCTCATGTCCCCGTATGCAGACAGGAGCTCATCCCGGTCCCTGGATTCAAACCGCTGACCTTTTGGTCAGCATAATGATTTAACCCATTGCGCCACCAGGGGCTCCATACTACATAATGATGATTGTAACACTATTGGCATGATCAGAAATGCCCTCCCAAATCTACTTTACCAGGCAACAGCCACACCAAGAGATAGAGATCCATTCAGCTAGTGATTGGGATGTAAGATGATAACATTTTCATTTGCCTCCCACCAGTGAGCAAAGCTGCAGCAATCAGACGTGGAATTCTTCATATATTTCTTTATTGCAGCCTTATTTGGTGGCAGGAAGAAGGTGGAAATGCTATGCTCTAGAACCCATCACCAACTGAAAAGACCTATATATGTGGCTGTTGCCTGGCAAAGTAGCCTGGGTGGGGGTCAGGACAGAAGATGGGGCTGCAGTGGAGCAGCAAGTTAAACTACTAAGCTGCAGAACTTGTTGACCAGAAGATCAGCGGTTCGAATCCAAGGATGAGGTGACCTCCTGCTGTTAGCCCCAGCTTCTGCCAACCTAGCAGTTCGAAAACATGCAAATATGAATAGATCAATAGGTACTACTTCGGTGGGAAGGTAATGTCACTCCGTGCAGTCACACTGGCCACATGAGCTAGGAGGTGTCTGCAGACAAGGCTGGCTGTTCAGCTTAGAAATGGAGATGAGCACCAGCCCCCAGAGTCAGACACGACTGGACTTAATGTCAGGGGAAAACCTTTACCTATCCGAGTCCACGCTAACCTATATCCAAGTTCAAAACATTTGGGATTTTCTGCTTTGATATTCTGGGATATAGGACTGTTTGGAAGGGCCCTTCCACACAGCCATGTAACCCAGAATATCAAGTCAGAAAATCCCACAATATATGTTTTGAACTGGGTTATCTGAGTCCACACGGCCATATATTCAAGTTCAAAGCAGAAAATGCGGGATTTTATACTGCTGTGTGGAAGGGGCCTCAGACTCCTTCTGCACTGCCATATAAAATCCAAATTATCAGGAGGACACCTCACAGAAGATACTCTGGAAGTCATGAAGAAAAAGCCAAATTTAATTCCATTTTTTCTTTTTCTTTATTTTTTTCTTTTTATTTTTTTAAATTATTATTCTTTCTTTCTCTCTGTTTCCTTTCAAGACCACTTTTAGATTTTAATAATGTTATAGAAAATGTCAATAAAGATTTTTTTAAAAATCCAGATTATCTGCTTTGAACCGAATTACATGGCAGTGTGGACTCATATAATCCAGTTCAAACAGATAATGTGGATTATCGGATTTGATAATCTGGGTTATATGGCACTGTAGAAGGGGCCTCTGACTCCTATAATCCCTTCCTTCACTTTGAGGCCCCTTCCACGCAGCTTCGGCCACATGAGCTAGGAGGAGTCTATGGATAATGCCAGCTCTTCGGTTTAGGAATAGAGATGAGTACTACCCCCCAGAGCCAGATTCAACTAGACTTAATGTCGAAGGGAAACATTTACCTATACTAACTAAATGACAATGTAGAATTTGTAACTATATTGGTAGAATATGGGCATTATCTCAGAGAGAATTATAAGTGATTAACAAAATTCCCAAAATTGCCAGAAAGTTTCAGAAATTGGCATGCCATTTTGAAGGTGGAGAAGGTGAACAACATTAGATTCCAGTTAGATTATTATAGGTTGGAACAAATATCCTTTTTTGTTTTTGAGCCATGGAATATTACACAATCTGAACCTCACAATAATGGTATGTGTCATTCGTTTTACTCTACATCAGCATTAATTACTAGTTAAGATGGCGATTCCCATGGTGGCCCTTGCTACTATGCTGTATTTGACATTTTAAGTATTAATAGGGAATAGAAGGACTTGAAGGCTAAATAATCTGTGAGCCAAATAGACCAGTACAGGCCCGTAGCCAGGATTTTGATTCGGGGGGGGGGGGGCTGAGTCTGAGTGACAGAGGGTCTACCCTAGCAAACCTTTTGTATCGTTACCCCAATACCCCCATGCATATGGGATATATTGAGCATGGTGATCAGATCATGATATGAATAAATAACAGTTTAAATAATGTACCAGTAAGGCCTTCTCGCGGACCACCATGAGAATTTCGGGGGGGGGCTCAAGCCCCCCCCCCCCTCCCCCCCCCGGCTACATGCCTGGACCAGTATATCAAAGTGGGTGATGTGAAAATTACCAGTGAGTTAGTTTGTGTCCTCTTTTCCTTCAACAGCAGAATTTTTAAATTACCTTTGTTTCATCTACCCACCCATAACCAACTTTTCTGCAAAATTAAAGTGAAAATCATCCTTACTTACCATTGTGGACAATGACCCTGTACTGTCTCTCTAAGCATATTTCTGTCTGCTTTTGTCGGACAATTCTTTGCGCTTCCGGAGACAACCCGTTCGCGTCCCGAGAGAACACAAAGGAGTAGCTGTCAGCGCAGGTGCCATCATCATTGACCAAACGGCAAGAATAATGTAGAGCATATGTGTCGTAATCTGTGGCTATTACCCAGTGGTCATCATCTAGGAGAAATGGGGAAAGTATTCATGAAATGCAGCAAAATAATCCCAGCACTGTGGACTTTCAAGTTCTGATCACACATTATCCTGTGAACTAAAGTTCTGGTGGTGAAAACTAGGGGGCGCTGGTGCTTTGTTGCTAAAGTTCTGGTGGTGAAACTTTCAGAACTCTAACACAACTTTCAAAATTTTATTATAAATGGCAGCTCTTAATAGGTTCTGTCATAAAAATCACCAATAATGAAACAATAATGAAATTTTGAAAGTTTTGTTAGAGTTCTGAAATTTTCACCACCAGAACTTTAGCAACATTGTAGAAGCAAAGCACCAGCGCCCCCTAGTTTTCACAACCAGAATTTTAGTTTTGTTAGTACTTTTGAACCATTTAGAACAACGATGGGCAACCTTTTGAGCTTGGTGTGTCAATACTCGCCAAAAAACCGAGCACAACTCGAGTGGGGTGTCACTTCGAGAAAAAACCTGTAATTTCATGATACTTATAGTTTAATAACAAAAATATATTATTGTAATATATAACTGTATTTAATAAACCAAAAACTAATTATTTAACGTACCTGCTTTTTCTATAATGCCATATATCTCGGCATTATAGAAAAATGCTGGTGTAGGAGCCGAGGATGAAATGTCCTTCTTGGGATGCGGCCCCATCTTCTCTGTATGCGGCCACATGCGGCTGTGTGTCATCGAAAATGGCTACACGTGTCAGTGCTGACACACGTGTCATAGGTTCTCCATCATGGATTTAGAACCATGGATTGCACATGCCTAGTAAAGATTATGAGGAGTCCCATTTTGGTTTCATAATCCAAATCTCCGAAGCTTCGAAATGGCTTCGTTAAGATTTGTTCCATTAGAGCAGTGTTTCTCAACCTTCCTAGTGTCACGACCCCTTCAGACAGTTCCTCATGTTGTGGTGACCCCCAACAATAACATTATTTTTACTGCTACTTCATAACTGTCATTTTGCTACTGTTATGAATCATCATGTAAATATCTGATATGCAGGATGTATTTTCATTCACTGGACCACATTTGGCACATATACCCGATACACCCACATTTGAATATTGGTGCGGTTGGGGAGGAGGGTTATGTTGATTTTGTCATTTGGGAGTTGTAGTTGCTGGGATTTATAGTTCACCTATAATCAAAGAGCATTCTGAACTCCACCTATGATGGAATTGAACCAGACTTGGCCACAAAACTTCCATGACCAACAGAAAATCCTGGAAGGGTTTGGTGGGCATTGATCTTGAGTTTTGGAGTTGTAGTTCACCTACATCCAGAGAGCACTGTGGACTCAAACAACAATGGATCTGGACCAAACTTTGCACAAATACTCAATACGCCCAAATGTGTACACTGGTGGAGTTAAGGGGAAAATAGACCTTGACATTTGGGAGTTGTATTTGCTGGGATGTGCAGTTCACTTACAATAATAGAGAATTCTGTATTCCACCAACAATAGAATTGGGCCAAACTTCCCACACAGAACCCCATGCCTTGAAGGAACTCACTGGCCCAAGCCTCCCTCCAGCCTTGCATGCTCTCCCTCGCCCGCACATGCGCATCACTCTGCCATGTGCTGAGCATGCCTGCTCTCCCCTCCCTGCTTGAAGTCTCAGAAACAGCCCTCCCCTTGGTTGATAGGCCAGCCAATCACAGCGGAGGAGAGCTTTTGATGGGAGGATTCGTCGTCTGCTTCCGAAAGGGAAGAGAAGCACAAGCGGCAAGATCCTCAGCCTTCTCTGCCAAAGGGGTTCCTAACATCATCAGAAATGTGTGATTTCTGATGGCCTTTGGTGACCCCTCTGAAATCCCCTTGTGACCCTCCCAGGGGTCCCGACCTGCAGGTTGAGAAACGCTGCATTAGGGACAATGGGAAAAATTTTGGAGCTCGTTTCTCTGTCATTTTTATGGATGAAACTTGGCACACTTCTAGGCGACCTTTACAACTTTAAGTCTGCCAAGTTTCAGGACATTTCAGTCACCCACTGATTTTTAGGATATTTTAAAGATTTTACAAATAATTAAAAAAATAACCTATAAGAGGTATATCCTGAATTTCTTCACAATGAGACAACATAAACATGGTATCAGTACTAATAAGAAAAAAACAACAACAACATGCAGCTGTTGTTGTCAATCACATCAGCCCCCTCCTGCCCCAGACAGTTATGGAGTTTGTCACATTAAAAAAAAACACAACTTGACATGCTCTGACACAACAAATCTTTACTAATCTCTCTGAAATGTTTTGTAGGCTTCTGTTTTGTTTTGTAAAGATTTGGAGGGGTCCTGTTCAAATTCGTAATTTGGAGATTTATATTAGTGAATCATAGAAATCTCCGAATTACAAAATGGACCTCCAAAGCTTTGCATAGCCCTAAAACTCGATGAGTATGTAGGTGTATCCCTTGCCGAAGGAAACCCTATGGAATGGATAGGGTCTCCATAAATTGCCGGAAGCTTGAAAGCCTACATCAATAGGAGGATAGCATCTAGATCTAAGGAAGTCATGCTACCCCCTCTATTCCGCTTTGGTTAGACCACACCTGGAATATTGTGTCCAATTCTGGGCACCACAATTCAAGAGAGATATTGACAAGCTGGAATGTGTCCAGAGGAGGGCGTCTAAAATTATCAAGGGTCTGGAGAACAAGCCCTATGAGGAGCGGCTTAAGGAGCTGGGCATGTTTAGCCTGAAGAACAGAAGGCTGAGAGGAGATATGATAGCTGTGTATAAATATGTGAGAGGAAGCCACAGGGAGGAGGGAGCAAGCTTGTTTTCTGCCTCCCTGGAGACTCAAACATGGAACAATGGCTTCAAACTACAAGAGAGGAGATTCCATCTGAACATGAGGAAGAGCTTCCTGACTGTGAGAGCCATTCAGCAGTGGAACTCTCTGCCCCGGAGTGTGGTGGAGGCTCGTTCTTTGGAAGCTTTTAAAACAGAGGCTGGATAGCCATCTGTCAGGGGTGATTTGAATGCAATATTCCTGCTTCTTGGCAGGGGGTTGGACTGGATGGCCCATGAGGTCTCTTCCAACTCTTTGATTCTATGATCTATGATTCTAAGCACAAACCAAAATGCAAATATATGATGCAGCACTCCACAGTTTAGGTTATATGTACATAGAGAAGACAATTATGCTTGGAAAAATTGAAGGAAAAAGGAAGAGGGGCTGACCAAGGGCAAGATGGATGGATGGTATCCTTGAAGTGACTGGCTTGGCCTTGAAGGAGCTGGGGGTGGTGACGGCCAACAGGGAGCTCTGGCGTGGGCTGGTCCATGAGGTCACGAAGAGTTGGAGGCGACTGAACGAATAAACAAACAACAAACCAGCAGTTCTAGCTGACAAATGCAAAAATAAGTGTGAGAAGATGTAGTGTAAAACATCTGGGTGATAATAATAAAATTGTAAACATAAAAGATGATTTGTGTCCATTTTCAGTCAAGAAGCACATGCTTTTTTCTATGTGTGAATATACTACATCAGTCTTCTGGTGTTCAGATGTTTGGTTTTCAACTCTCATCACTCGAGGTGGATAGGAAGTATAATCCTATGTATTCAGAGGGCTCCATATTGGGCAAAGCTAGCAAATATAATTGCAGTCAGAATTGGGTAAACAGTCCCTAGTAAGTGTTAAGCCAGCACAAAAGTGATGAAAAATTCTTGCAAGTCTCAAAAAGAGAGAAGCCAAGGGGCACCTTGTCTTGAAAAATGTGAAAAGGAAAAGGATAAAGCTGTACAAAGGTCACCTTAAGAACCCACGTTTGAAGATGTATGAGAAAAGGGATGAGCTGGATTTGAATAGTTGAGCCTGATAACAAAGATAAGGAGAGCAGTCCTTTGGACTCTGGGATCAGGCCCTTAGGAAACTGCCTGTTTTGGCTTTGTGGCAGGGCAAAGGTTGAGTGCTGCTGAAAGCTAAAAAGGAGAGGATGTGATCTCTCACAAAGGGGTGCATACCAAATCCAAGTTACATCCTGGTGTGTGTCTGATATTCTAACAAAAGTTTGTAGCATTAATAGCTCTTTTGTGTGATCCAGTTGTATGGGTCATAGTCCAACTAGTCAGGAGGGATGACCTTTAAAAGCTGGACCATCATAACCATGGTAGATCACAATTTCCACAATAAAGCTGCTCCACAAGCAAAGATTTCTGCTATACTACTATCACAACCGTTTGCAATATCCATAAATATGTGACGCTTCTTTTTTAATCAAATCCCACCACCATAGCAATTGCGTTTGGTGAGGACAAGAGACAGGGCTTTCTCCGTGGTGGCCCCTCGGCTGTGGAACTCTGTCCCTAATGAGGTTAGATCTGCCCCTCCCTCCTGACGTTCCAGAATAAACTTAAATCCTGGCTATGGGATCAAGCGTTTACAGAATAGACTGATTTATTGGTGAAGATAAGACTTTATTTGACCGCAATGGACTGATTTGGATGGTGATTTTAATCTGGTTTTTAATGTATATTTATAATTGTTTTAATGTATTTAGTTGTATTTTATGATATGTTTTATAATGTCTTGGCACTGAATGGTTGCCTATTGGAAGCCGTCCTGAGTCCCTCTTCGGAGGTTGAGAAGGACAGGATATAAATGTTCTAAATAAATAAACGTGGGATAGACTTAAAAATAGAAATATTTTGCACACAAGCTTTTAGATGGCACTTTTTTCCAAACCCTATCAAAAATAATATTTTTGAAAATATTGTCCCCCTTTAATGAGCTTATTTAGTGCACATGACTCCACTTTTCCCCACTTAATTTCATAACAACCCCCATATGTGGGTCAGTGAAACCATGCATGTGGATTCCATAGTTATGGGGTCTTACTGTATTCCAGTACACATTTTAATAAACATGTCTCTCCATAAAGAAAATGTGAGACTTAAACACTGTGAACAAAATGGTCACTTTTGCCTTATTATTATTATTATTATTATTATTATTATTATTTGAAACACAAGATGAGTCCACAGCAGACACTCTACTGGCTGTTGTATTGGATCACGCATGTGTTGCACCCTGCCTTGAACTGTGAGGAGAGGCAAGTAACAAATAATGTATTATTATTTTAAACACAACAAGATGAGTCCACAGCAGCCACTCTGCTGACTGTTGTATTGGATCACACGTCGGACACTTCCCAAGTGTCTAGGACTGTGTGATGTATCGGCGAATAATGTGTGCAGATCCCAGTAAGGTGGCCTTTTGCAGTTGGCAGATGGTAATCTTGTCAGCACCAATTGTGTTTCAGTGCAGACCAAGGTCTTTAGGCACTGCACCCAGTGTGCCAGTTACCACTGGGACCACCTTGACTAGCTTGTGCCAGTGTCTTTGCAGTTCAATCTATAAATCCTCATATCTTGTCAGCTTTTCCAGTTGTTTCTCTGCAATCCTGCTGTCACCTGGGATTGCAACATCGACAATCTATACTTTGTTTTTTAACACGTTTTTTAACACGTTTTTAAAACTCTGTCTGAATCCAGAAGACCCAGAGTAGCTTGACGTGTTCATTCTCTGTAACTTTTTCTGGCTTGTGATCCCACCAGTTGTTGTTGTTGTTGTTGTTGTTGTTATTATTATTATTATTATTATTATTATTATTATTATTATTATTTATACCTCACTTTTTTCTCTCCAAAGGAAGTCTCAAGGAGGCTTCCAAAAAAGAGAGACTCCATCACAAGAAAAAGACAAACAGCACCACAGGGTTGGTTTTTTGTTATTTTTTTTGTTTTTTTTTGGGGGGGGTGGTGCAAATATATAATGATAAATACAAATACATGTTAAATGTATTTAAAGTCTGTAACCAGGTGAGTTCTGTGCTAGATTAATCTGTTGTCTAGGTGTTATTTGCTGACGGACAACTGCTTATCCTTTGTATTACTGTCTGTCTTTATGCTACACCTGGATAAGGCAATTTCTCAAGAAGCGATTTCCATTAAATAGAGAGCAGTGGGTAGTTCCCAAAGATAGATCTATGCGGTTGAACATTGTATGCCTATAGTGCTAGTCAGATTTACTTGAAGTGGGCATATATACACATCACAATAATATATACATTTCAGATGACCAACTTTTTAATAATCCAACACCTTTAACAAAATTACTGCATATAGAAAAACAGTAGATCAGAAATATTCTGTCCTTCTACCTGACTAGGTTTTTCTCTGGGCGTTCTTCCAGACAGGCCCTGCATCTCAGGATCTGATCCCAAGTTTTCTGCTTTACACTGGATTATATGAGTTCGCATTTCCAGATAATCTGGGATAAACAGAAAACGTGGGATCAGATCCTAGGATATAGGGCCTGTCTGAAAGGGTCCTAAGAAGGAAAAAGGAAAAACATATCCAGTGTGTTGATATAAGAGGTCTACAGACTGAAGATGGCCCATCCAGCTCTTCAATAAACTTCAATGAATGAGAGAGTATATTTGAGGAATAAAAGTGTCATCTCTTACACCAGTGATTCTCAACCTGTGGGTCCCCAGTTGTTTTGGCCTTCAACTCCCAGAAATCCTAACAGCTGGCAAACTGGCAGGTATTTCTGGGAGTTGTAGGCCAAAACACCTGGGGACCCACAGCTTGAGAACCACTGTCTTACATGTTTAAGGCTACAATCCCCACTCGACCCAGTTAGACTTTCTTTTAAAGGGATATGTGTAGGATTGCACAATTAGTTACATGCCTAAGCTGTATAGAAATGTGGAGAAAGTAATACTCACTTCCCTTCTGAAGATAGGACGCCATGCCCCAATATTTCATTTTGAACTTGGCAGGATCCTCTGTCTCTGTGAAAGTGCCAACCATGTCAGCACATAACTCCCAGTTACTGAAAAGAGGAAAGGATGATTGCTTTGAACATTTAAGTATAGGAATGGAGTAGTTGTTACAAAACGGTGAATACAAAATGGTAGGGGTGGTTGAGAAGTGAACATCTAGGATCCTCTGAAGCAAAGCAGGTTCCATATATTTCGACATCAAATGGCTGGAGGAATATAATGTATGAAGCTGAAATTGGACTGGCAGTAGACTCTAATCTCAATCCCATAGGTGGCATGATTTCAAAGTTAATTGGGGGGGGGGGGTAATGAATCCATTACACATTTTAGTGGGAACTGTAAAGGAGCTATCCAAAGTGCTGAGCCAATATATAATATTTATAATATTATAATGTAATGCAATATACTACTACTACTACTACTAATAATAATAATAATAATAATGATATTATAATTATATATTTTTATTACATGTAATATTACTAATAATATTACAATATAATGATATAGTACAATATAGTAATATTTAATACTGATATTGTACTATGCTTCAACACCGCCTGAGCTCTGAGAGTGCAGCATTTTTCCAAATGAAGCAGAGTGTGTTTGAGGACCAGGACATCCGTAGGGATACCAAGGTGTTTGTTTATAAAGCTATTGTCGTCCTAACCCTGCTATATGCCTGCGAAATGTGGACAGTCTACAGATGTCACATGCAACTCCTGTAACGATTCCATCATCGCTGCCTCCGAAAAATCCTGCAAATCTCTTGGGAAGAGAAGCGGACAAATGTCAGCATGCTGGAAGAAGCAAAGACCACTAACACTGAAGCGATGGTCCTCCGCCATCAACTCCACTGGACCGGCCACGTTGTCCGGATGCCTGACCACTGTCTCCCAAAGCAGTTGCTCTATTCCGAACTCAAGAATGGAAAATGGAATGTTGGTGGGCAGGAAAAGAAATTTAAAGATGGGATCAAAGCCAACCTTAAAAACTCTGGCATAGACAATGAGAACTGGGAAGCCCTGGCCCTTGAGCGCTCCAGCTGGAGGTCAGCTGTGACCAGCAGTGCTGTAGAATTTGAAGAGGCACGAATGGAGGTTGAAAGAGGGAAACGTGCCAAGAGGAAGGCGCGTCAAGCCAACCCTAGATCAAGAATAGGGCTCCACAGTCACCTGCGGACCCACTGCCAGAACACCGACCTTGGAGGACCATCATCCTCGGACTACGAGGGATCACCTAACTGTAACTGTACTATGCTAATAATATAATATATTATATGTATATATATTTTGTAAGCCACTCAGAGTCCCCTTCAGGATGAGAAGGGCAGCATATAAACGTCGTAAATAAATAAATAATGTTCAGGATCTCAGCATCTCCTTTGTAATTTAGGCTATAACCCAGAGCAGAATCACCATCACACTGATATGAAACCACCAGCCTCTACTCAGTGTTGATGAGGGTCAGGCCCGTAGCCAGGATTTCATTTCGGGGGGGGGGGGGGGGGGGGCTGAGTCTGAGTGAAAGAGGGTCTAGCCTAGCAAACCTTTTGTATCATTACCCCAATACCCCCATGCATATGGGATATATTGAGTATGGTGATCAGATCATGATATGAATAAACATAACAGTTTAAATAATGCACCAGTAAGGCCTTTTCGCGAACCACCATGAGAATTTCGGGGGGGGGGGGCTGAAGCCCCTCAAGCCCCCCCCCCTCCAGCTACATGCCTGATGAGGGTACCACATTCTCCCCTGAATTTGAAGACAGTGGAACAGCATAGTGGTCACAGGTCAGGCCCCATGGAGTATATAGCTCTCTCTTCCTACTTAGGATGACCGTCATGGCTAGCTACTGCTACATCCTCCACCTACTAACTCAAGTGATTGTCCTAATGGTGGGGCAGAAGGCCAGTTAAGATTGGCCACAGATAAAAATACTCGTTTTTTGTTGCGTTTTCTCATGCGTGACCATAAACAGGAGCATGCAATAAGTGAGCAGAAAATCCCATAAACATCTATACTCTTCTTATACAGTAAGAATGAAATGGTATTAAAAATATAGAAAATTGACAGCTTTCTATATTTTGCATGAAACTCTAAATCAGTGGTTCTCAACCTATGGGTTCCCAGGTGTTTTGGCCTACAACTCCCAGAAATCCCAGCCAGTTTACCAGCTGTTAGGATTTCTGAGAGTTGAAGGCCAAAACATTGGGGACTCACTGGTTGAGAACCACTGTTCTAAATCAACTACCTGAGTGAATCAGTTCGGTTTGTCTAATGGTAGGTACAGCCAGCAGAAATAAAAAGAGGCTGGGTGACTTACTTGAAGAGCTCGACTCTTCCCCTGGCCGTAGCAGTCATCTTCCCATTTTCATCCACAAAAAACTGGGCAATGATGTTATCCTGAAGAAACAATCCTTCAGGGTCCTTCTTGGCCACGGCATACCAAAGGCCAGCATACTGCAGAAAGAAAAGAAGCATTTGTCAGGTCTGTATAACAGGGGGATAAGGGACAAAGTATAAGGAAAGGAGGCTGCTTATTTGTCCCTAAGCTGTAGCAGGATTTATTTATTTATTTATTATTGCCAATATTTCTATCCCACCCTTCTCAACCCCTGAGGGAGGGGGGGGGGGGGACTCAGGGAGGCTTACAAACCGGCCACAATTTGAAGTCTCAATATAATACAAATATAAACACAAATAGTAACAGTTTAAAACAGTAAATAAAATATAAAGTTAAAAACATTGTCATCATCGAGTAGTGTTGCCACCAGATTTCCCCCCAAATATAATAATAAGAAAATGGGAAAGGATTTAAATGATAAAAACTCCGAAATGGGTTTTTTTTTTTTGGATTCTTAGATAAAATATTCCTAAAATAACAGTCAATGTAATTTCACAAATCCTGCTTGGAATTAACATTCTGGGGCCGTGACAAAATTCAGAACAGATTTTATAAAAGTAGTCAAATACAAAACGTAGTTTCATGCAGTTTTAAAAGAAAGACTCCGCCATACAGAAAGTTATCCAGAACTAACTATTAACATTTTTCTTTACAAAATGGTTACTATATTGTAGAGTTGTGCATGGATCCATTTTCCTTCGTTACATCCATTCTTTCATTTCCTGCGGGAGCACGTAATGGGAATCTTCCTTCTGGTACAAAAATCAGCTCAACGCAAAAGCAAGTGGAAGCCGATCCCAGCTCCTTGCTGGCTTTTCTTGATCAGCTTCCTTGCCTTGGAAAGTGTGTGTGTGTGTGTGTGGTGTGCAGGCCCAGGAAAGCACAAGTGCTTGCCTGCAGCTGAGCGCTTCCTCTAGAGTAAGAAACAGAACTTATCTCCTTGCCTTGGAAAAAGTGCCTGTGTGGTGTGCAGGCCCAGAAAACATGCATGCCTCTCTGAAGCCAAGCACATCTACTCTAGAGTACAGTAACAGGTAAGAAACCTCCATAAAGCACACACCTGCCTGCAGCTGAGTGCCTCTCCTCTAGAGTAGAAACAGCTTAAATGCCTATGATAGAAAGGGGAGCCTGGGAACTTCCATTCTCCATAACGGTCCAAATTTTTTTTTGGTTGTGTCAGATGCAACTTGAGAAACTGCAAGTCGCTTCTGGTGTGAGAGAATTGGCCGTCTACAAGGATGTTGCCCAGGGGACACCCAGATGTTTTGATGTTTTATCATCCTTGTGGGAGACTTCTCTCATGTCCCCGCATGAGGAGCTGGAGTTGACAGAGGAAGCTCATCTGCGCTCTCCCTGGATTTGAACCTGTGACCTGTCGGTCTTCAGACCTGCCAGCACAGGGGTTTAATGGTCGGATAGAAAACCGATCTTTCAGCACCACAGAACGAAAACAGATATCTGCCCTCCCGGTTTCAGGAGGATCTCAAAAATCAGATCATGGCCCCCACCAAAGCCGGGACACTAAACGGATCAAGGTTTACCCAGATTGCACAAGCCTACTATATATGTTTGAATTGTTACAACATCCTAATGTTTAACGTTCTAGAAGATTTGAGCTCTAGCTCCTTTGAGAGAGCCATCCTCTCAAACTTCCTTTATGGAGACCTTGTAAGTTATTTTTAGTGAAAATTGCAACCATTAACTTTTGCCCAAGTCTACTGGGAAGAGAAAGACTCCACTTCATACTCTCCCCTTGCTATGTTAATTGAATGCAAACTATTGTTGTACTTTGAACTCAGTTGATTGGACCTGAAGTATGTTGAGGACAAAGGAAAAAAATGGAGGAAAGAGAGAGAAACTGAATCCCTTCGGGGAGAGAGGGTGGATTATAAATAAAGTGTTGTTATCATTTTACTGACACAAAAACACAGTATGTCACAGCAAATGAGATCTATATACTGGATCTATATGCTGGATTGTTGTTGTTGTCATTTTTGTTGTTGTTATTATTATTATTTCAAAAGCAGCTGAAAATATGAATGATGGAGAATTAATTGGGAATATCCTTGGATATCATCTACATTTGAAACTGGATATGGATCAAGGCTGATGACACCAAGTTCCTCTCTTGGTCCCCAGTTTTCAGGGGGATTAATAACAAAGCCTTCACAGAAAATGGCATGTATGTGTGTGTGTTTAAGAATCTGAAGTTGGTAAAAGAGATGGCATCCTGCAGGTCTTCTAGGAAACAGCGAAGGGCATAAGGGCAGCAAAGGGGGAGCAGGGAACCTTTGGACTGAGTATGATGATCACAAAATAAGAGGAGGGGAAGGTGCAAGGCCACAGAGAACTTTGAAGTTGAGGACAAGAACCTTGTTTGTGTTGGATTCAGGAGCAGACAGATAGTCAGGGATTTAAGGACAAATATCACATGATAAAAGCAGTGGGGAAGGTGAATAATTTTGGCAGCAAAAGACCTAGTTAGATTACAAAAGACCAGAGAGGAGAAGACTGCAATGGCCTCAGCAAGAGATAACCTTGGTATGCCAGCCAAGAGGGAGTGAGAGAGAAATGCGGTAAAGACAGAAGATCATAAGCGTGGGATGGATTCAATGTGGAGAACAAATGAGAAAGGGGAACTCCAAGATAAAGCCAATCTAACTTAGCTGTCCCAAAATGTCTATGATAAAGTTGCTATTGGATAAGGACAGTGGATATGGTGAATGGATAAGTGAGTTTGAGGAAAAAACATGAGAACTTCAGTCTTTGAGTTTGAGAGATGAATTATCCAAGCCAAATTATCAGGGAAAGAGAAATATAATTGGTGTCCATTGTCTATAGGTGATGCTGAACCCAAATGCCTTGGAGAAGCATAGAAGTTCATAAAGTAGAACATGAACATTTACAGTCCCCAAGAGCTCTGATTCCCACACCTCCATTTGAAACCAACAATATGAAGCTGTATAGTACAATTGATTTAAGTATCCCTTTACACGTGCTACTGATGCAATGCATTCAGAAATAAGGAAATTAGGAATTAATCATATTTTTGATTGTGAATATTCTGCAACCATGTCATGAATGTAAACATATATGTTAGCTACCTTACTTTACCAAATAAGTGTTAATGTTCTGATTGGAGTACATGGGACAACAATATAAAGACACTAGACTATTTACAAGTCTTTGCTTAAGTACAAATTCAATTCCAATTGATCTCCTCTTTCACTCTGCTTTAGCCCAAGAAAGACAGAGGTTGACACTTAATATGATTTCCTTTCTCTGCATTGTAGAAACGTCTGTTTCCAACTAAATTTTGGGCTTAGTGGTGGTCTTCAAAGGACTTAAGTTTCTTCTACACTGCCATAGAAAATACAGATTATTTCCTTTGAACTGGATTATATGCAGTTTCTGAACTGGATTATATGCAGAAGGGGTCTTAGATGATAATTGAGATTTAGAGCCCTTCCAGACAGGCCCTATATCCCAGGATCTGATCCCAGGGTTTTTTGCTTTAAACTGAATTATATGAGTCCTCACTTCCAGATAATTTGGGATAAACAGAAAACCTGGGATCAAATCATGGGATTTAGGTCCCTGTCTGGACGGGCCCTAAGGCTGGATCTACACTGCCTTATATATCTCAGAATCTGATCCCAGATTATCTTCTTATCCCAGATTATCTGGCAGTGTAGACTAATATAATCCAGTTTGAAGCAGATAATCTGGGATCAGATCCTGGGATATCAGGTAATGTAGATCCAACTTGCGGCCCCTTCCACACTGCCCCTATATTCCAGGATCTGATCACAGATTATCTGGCAGTGCAGACTAATATAATCCAGTTTGAAGCAGATAATCTGGGATCAGATATGGTGATATCAGGTAATGTAGATCCAACCTGCGGTCCCTTCCAACCTGCCCCTATATTTCAGGATCTGATCCCAGATTATCTGGCAGTACAGACTAATATAATCCAGTTTGAAGCAGATAATCTAGGATCAGATACAGTGATATCAGGTAATGTAGATCCAACCTGCGGTCCCTTCCAACCTGCCCCTATATTCCAGGATCTGATCCCAGATTATCTCGCAGTGTAGACTCATATAATCCAGTTTAAAGCAGATAATCTGGAATCAGATCCTGGGATATAGAACAGTGTAGAAGGAGCCATAGATTTTCGCTGCAAAGTGAATAGCAATAGATCACATTACACTATTTAGGCATCTGGAATGCAAGAGAAGGAAAGCTGACAGGTAAGTCACAACATAGAAATGCATGGGATAGAAGAGAGAGAAAAAGGATGAAACACCTACTCGGGTTTTGTCGAAATTTTCCTGCACTTTGAAATTGCTGACTTGACAGTTGCGTTGTGCTTGGCATTTGCTGTTCAATAGGGCCAGGGCCACCAGCACAAGCCAAGCAAGGAGTTTCCTTACGCTTCCCATCTTGTTCCTCTGCACCTGCAACAAAGATATACAATATCAATAAAACCCAAAGAAGAAATAAAATGTATCCCACAAGATGTAAAGGGAACCACGAACAGGATACTCTTTAAAGCACGTGGAAGCTGAAACTGAAAAGGGTCCTCAATATAAACACTTTAAACAAAGTTTGAAAAGCCCATGCCAACAACAACCAAAAAGTTTCTGGAGACAGAGTTAGGCATGCTATTTTCTTTCAGCACCAAGTTTCATAATCACCAAAGAGTGAGGATTCAAAAATAAAAAGCGAGAAGATACTTGTCAGTCAAGGGACACTGGAAATCCCAGCAGCCAAGCTCTGCTACAAATGGGAAAGGAGCCTGAGTGCATGTTTTATAGTACTGGGCGGGTGGGTAGGTGGGGAAAAGGGTTCTTATGAAACCCAGCAGGCAAAAGATCAATATTATTTAGGGGGAGGTGATGGGAGAGACAGGAGCTTGATCAGTTCCAGCTGCTGGTTGAGCTCTTCTCACAACAAGTCTTGCATAACTCCACAGCAGAAAGCAGAGGGAGCTGTTGTGATCTTTGATCCTGGCTGTTGGCTTGTTAGGTGGTGTTGCAAGCACATGATTCTCCCTGGGATTTAGACCAGAGGATGCTTGTATATGACTTTGTAGAATACAAGCTGAAAGAAACACAGACAGAGGCAAGATATGCAGCAAAAACAGCTTGAGGCTTGGAGGCTGAGAGATGCTAACAAATGGAAAGAGATAACAATGCAATCTTCTGGTGCCATAAAGAATAACACATTTGATTGACCTACACTTTCACAGACTTCATCATGGAATACGTGGGGTATTGTTTCAGAGGGTATATTCATTGCACAACTATTGCAGTTTGATCCCACTTTAAATTGGTATTATTCCATCCTATGGAATCGTGGATCTTATATAGGGTGCGGCAGCATAACTTCCTTTTTTAAAATGCGCGCCATTCAGTCGGTTGAAGACGTAGCGGAGCGCTAGTGGTCTCGTTTGAGAGGCGGGAGCATAAATTTTTGTCCTGACACAGTTCAGTCGCCATCATGTGTTGGAACAGTGAGGAGTGCTTTTGCCGTTGAGGCCTACTTTTCGAGCGGATGCTGTGTGATCGCAACCCAGTGCGCCTTTCAGAATCACTTTATTTTAGCCCCTGTCCTGGACCGGAAATCAATTGTGACGTGGGTAACTACATTCAGACAAACGGCAAGTGCGACGAGACAAAGAACTGGAGTCCCTCGGCCCATTAGATCACCTGAGAACATTGAGGCAGTGAGAGCTTCAATGTTGTGATCACCACGGCATTCTGCGTGCAAACATGCGTCTGCCCTTGGACTTTCCTGATCGTTCTGTGAGGAGAATTCTTCATGATGATCTTCATTTCCATCCTTACAAGATGGCGATTGTGCAGGAACTTTCTGAACGTGACTTCAATTCTCGGAGGAATGCGTGTGAGGTTTGTCTCGAAGTCGTTCCTGAGGACGCTATTTTTTTTTAGTGATGAAGCCCATTTTCATTTGTGTGGATCCGTCAACAAACAAAACATGCGCTACTGGGCTGACAACAATCCTCGAGAATTGCATCAAAGGCCTTTGCATTCACCTAAAATCACAGTGTGGTGTGCAATTTCCTCAGCTGGAATTATTGGTCCCTGGTTCTTTGAGGAAAATGAAGTCGCAGTGACAGTGAATTCGGACCGGTATGTAAACATGTTACAGGATTTTTTTTCCCCACGGCTAGATGGGTTGGACTTAGGGGACATTTGGTTCCAACAAGACGGTGCAACTGCACACACTTCAAGAGCATCGATGGCTGTTTTGAGGGAACACTTCCCAGAGCGCCTCATCTACTTTTTGAGCAGATTTGGAGTGGCAGGCCCGCTCTCCAGATTTGGCCCCTTGTGATTTTTTTCTATGGGGTTTTTTGAAATCCTGTGTTTATGTGAACCGTCCAAGGACCCTACAAGATTTGAAGACCAACATCCAGGAAGAAATGCCAACATAACACCTGCTATGCTGGCAAGAGTCATGACAAATGCTAGAAATCGGTTTACTCAGTGTATGGAGAATGGGGGACGTCACCTACCTAATTTGATCTTCAAAACTACGTAAAACAAAACTTTAGGTATGCACCTACATTATAAAAAAAATCTGATTCATACAATGGGTTTTATTAAGGTTTGAAAAAGGGAAGTTATGSTGCTGCACCCTGTAGTTTGATGAAAGAGTTCTCTGCCAGGTTTGTAGAGCTGCACTGCAAAGAATGTTAGGTAGGTCTCCATACTATAAAGTCCATAGGAAGGAGTCATAGCAATTAAACTGGTTTCAAGCTTTTATAATTGTGTGATGGGGATGCAACCCCTCAGGGCCCTTCCACGCAGCCATATAATCCAGAATATCAAGGCAGATAATCCATGATGATCGTGCATTGTTGTTATAAGCAGCCATTTGAATATCTAAATATCTAAAGCACTTTGCAACCACACTTTGCAACACTTGAGCACATGCCCGGCCATTGTCAGTTTTACCATTGTCTTTCCCCCAGTCTAGATGATATTACAAACTTACTACAGCATACAGTTATATCTTGTCTTAGCAGACAGGTTCTTTTAATTACATATAGCCTTCGACAAACAACATCACAGCACAAGGAGAAATATACACTGTACATGACTTCCTTATATACAATTCTATACAATTACACATAGCAATCTCTGATTGGTTCCCAACTCATTAACTTAACTCAGACTCAGGATTACATCATTCACAATCACCTGGACTAGGCCAGAACACATTCCCCAAATGATTCCCTATATACAGTTAATGCATGACTCAGCATTTCCAATAGAAGCCCATTAGCAGTTAATGACTAAGATATATTACATTACAATACATTGCAAAACCTGACACTACAAAATTAATGTAGTTTCACAGTATTTTAACTGCCATGGTTCAATGCTATAGAATCATGGACATTCTAGTTTTACAAGGTTTTCGGCCTTCAGTTCCAAAAGGTGCTCAGTAAACTATATATTTGAATATTTTAAATTGTGTGCTAATACTTTTAATATAAGTCGCTTTGAGTCTCCTTCAAGACAGATAAAGTGAGGTATTAATAATAATTGTAATAATAACAATGACAAAAATTACCATCTGTAAGCTGCAAACGCCCTCCCTACTGGGATCTGCACGCAGTATTCGCCGATACATCACAAAGTCCTAGACACTTGGGAAGTGTCCAATGTGTGATCCAATGCAACAGCCAGCAGAGTGATCTTGTTTTCTGTTTACTAATCTTGTTATGTTTCAAATAATAATAATAAAAAATCTCAGAATTTCCATAGCATTGAGGCATGGCAGTATTGTTAGTATAAATGTCACTGTCACAGTTTTCTTTGAAAATTGTTTCAATTCACAATTACCGTATATACTCAAATATAAGCCGACCTGAATATAAGCCGAGGCACCTAATTTTATCACAAAAAACTGGAAAAACATATTGACTCGAGTATAAGCCAAGGGTGAGAAATGTAACTGCTACTGGTAATCATCAGTAGGTTACATGTTTTTGAGTATTTACATAAAACTGTAATTTAAGATAAGACTGACTAACTCTGATTCAATCATTATTCCTTCAATGCAAATGTGCTTACCTATTACCAATAATAATAGTCAAAAAATAAATGTAATAACATATAATAAAAATAATAATAGAGTAAATAATGGAAATTTAATAATAATAGTAATAAAGTAATAAATGTAATAATGATATTAGGAGCCCCCGGTGGCACAATGGGTTAAACCCCTGTGCCGGCAGGACTGAAGACCGACAGGTCACAGGTTTGAATCCGGGGAGAGGCGGATAAGCTCCCTCTATCAGCTCCAGCTCCTCATGCGGGGACATGAGAGAAGCCTCCCACAAGGATGATAAAATCATCCAGGCGTCCCCTGGGCAACGTCCTTCCAGACGGCCAATTCTCTCACACCAGAAGCGACTTGCAGTTTCTCAGGTCGCTCCTGACATGACAAAAAAAATATGATAGAGTAAAATAATAAAAGTAATAATAATAATAAATAGAGTACTATAATAGATGTAAAAAATAATAATACAGTAAAATAGTGTAAATGTAATAATAATAGAGTAAAATAATAAATGTAGTAAAATAATACAGTAAAATAATGTAAATGTAATAATAATAGAGTAAAAATATAAATGTAATAAAAATAATATTAATCACAGAGTAAAATAATAAATAACCTTGACTTGAGTATAAGCCAAGGGGAACTTTTTCAGCCTAAAAAAGGGGCTGAAAAACTAGGCTTATACTCGAGTATATACAGTACTTAAAATTGATCTACATAGTTTTCTTTTGTAAAGTTTGCTAGCTTTTGGTACAATATTTTTCAACGGACAAAATATCTAGTTTGTGATTCTGAACTTCTGTACCTCTTTCCACTGACCCAGGATGAACTGTGGTTTGGAAGTATGGTCTGGATATATGCCATCTTGCAGGGAGCATGCCTGTCAGGTACAATCTAATCCCATTATAATATATTCATAAATACATGACACTGTTTGAACCTATCTTTGCATTGACATTGTATAGTGGGCCTATGGTATCCCCGCGGGTTTGGTTCTAGGACTTCCTGTGGATACAGGAAGAAAACTGCATATTCATGTTTAACGTGTATGTGTGGTACATGTGAATGTTTATATGCATGCAGAATACATACAAATATACAGAACTGAGTTACCTTTCTCTGTAAAGCATAAGTCAGTCTTCATTCCCCATTTCCTGCGTTGTTGACAAACTTCTTTTATTGTTATATAAAAAGTCCCTCCCCTGTCGCCAATCCAGTCAATTTGTGTCGCCTCACAGTCAATATTTGCTCTGAAGTTTCAACATCTCTAGAAGCATTACAGAAGTCCTGTTAAATATTCTCCAGAGATGTAATCCAAAGTGGGTTGTGATGAAAACAGCACTGATCAAGATGAAACAAGATGAATACACCCGAATCCTCTAGAACAGGAGTTCTCAAACTTTTTCGGCCGTGGAGCCCTGTTTGAATCAGCAAAAAATAAACAAACAAATAAATAAATAAATACAATATTTAAAATGAAGAACATAAACTTAATAGTATTTCAGTGGAAACATCCAGTTCAACCCTCACCTGCCATGTAGGAAAAAGACAATCAAAGCACCTCCAAGAGATGGACATCCAGCCTTTGTAGTAATAGTAATACTACTACTACTACTACTACTACTACTACTACTAATAATAATAATAATAGCAGAAACTTCAGAGAAGGTGGGGCAGTCAGAGAGCCCTGCGTACCTCTTGTGGAA